GCGATAGTTATTTCCGCTTTGCGATTTTCATTCTCGAAACTATTCTTCTTCTGCATTACTTCAACCAAAAGACAAAACAAAGACAATACTAACTTCACAGGCTAAACAGTTTAGCAGTATTGGCAGCAATCGAATGAATTTAATAAGAATCTAAGTGAAATGGTTAATCTATTATTGAAATACCAGTAACTTATCATCAATCTCAATATGAAAAACCTAAAAATAATGCAAAAATTTCAAAATAAAAATAAAAAAAACTAACCCTCGGAGGTTGATTTTCCATTTCTGAATGATTGTGAGGGATTTTTGACTGTGAATGGTTGTGAGGGATTTCGCCGGCGATGGGGACGGAAATCTTCGGAGATGGGGACGGATTTCGCCGTAGAGAGTGAAAGATGGAGATGGCTGAGTGTTGTGTTTGGGTTGAGGTTATGAGTGCGTGCGATTACTGTGGACGTTCATTTTCCGATTTATTAAGAAAAAATACGTGTTTGGAATTTGAAAAAAAAAATACGCGTTAATACGAATGGCGCTAAGTAAATCGCGTTGCGAAAGTCAGTATCGCGTTGCGAAAGTAAGTATCTCGTTGCGATTTTTTATTATCGCATTGCGATAGTCAGTATCGCATTGCGATTTTCCCAATTCGCGTTGCGATTTACTTATTCGCATTGCGAATTTCCCAATTCGCTTGCGATTTACTTATTCGCATTGCGAATTGGGAAAATCGCAACGATACTGAGACCATCGCAACGCGATTTTCAACTATCGCATTGCGAAAATGCAACGCGTATTTGCGATAATGGAGATCGCGTTGCGAATTAGCGATCGCATTGCGATTTTGTTGGTCATTTTGGCAAATCCGGAAAAAGTTGGTTAAAATCGTATATTATATGGGATTTTTGGTCACTGAGGTTATTTTCTCTTTTTATAATTTATTAAATTGAATAATCTCAATAAAATGAAAATTTAATATTTTTTTAAAATTTATAATATATTGATACATATAAGTTATAAAACAAACTAAAATTAAGGAAAAAAATAAAATTAGCAATTCTGTTATTTTACATTACTGAAATCAAATTCATCTGATGTGTTTACGAACCAAGCAGAATATGTAATTGAATTCTAATTCAATTTCCTGCCAACCAAACAGGTTTCAGATTTATATTTCAATTACTTCATAGATTCCAATTCCCTCAGAAACATTCCAGCTGACTCTTGGAGTGGTCGGGTTATGTTCCTCCAAATCTACAAAGCCCTTCTTCCATGAAACGTATTCGACACTAAAACTTTTGTTGAATTCCTTGATTTCGAATCCATAATTTTCCTCCAATAGCTATTCGGTTCTGATCCACATCCAGGGATGGACATGAGATTCAAACCCGACGAGTTTCGACCCTATCGGATATTTACAAAAAATTGGTTATAGAATTTCACCAAACGAAAGGAATTTACCTTTTCACCCGTCCAACCTAGACCGAATTTTGTCAATGATGGGCTGCCACATAGCTATAGAGTTTCAATTATACCTATTTTAATGTTACGAGTTTAGAATTCAGAAAATATGATTTAAATTTTGAAATTAGTGTTTAAAGTTTAAAACTTAAGATAAAAATCAAATATAAAATTGAGTAAAATTAAATTTTATTAAAATTGAAAAATATAATTGTTTTAAAAACAAAATTTATATAACATGTTACAAAGTTTTTTTTAATAATTTAAAATAAATATAAGATAATATTTTTCTTGAAATTTTATTTTTCATTTTTTCGTTTAAGATATGGTGATTATAAAGTAGTATTTGTTTTAAATACTTTCAACCGTTCGATAATAAATGCCCAATCACTTTATTGCAGTCATTGGTGCTTGAACCTGTATTCTCTAAGAACAATAATAATTCATTTAACTACTAAAGTAAGTTGGTTCGTATTTTTCTAATTTTTTTTAATTATTAACATGACACACCTTAGTGACACATATGCTCAAAACTTAAATTATTTAGAGAGAGTTTTATTATGATTTATGCATGTAATCGCTCAATTACTGTTACATATGGGCCTTGAGAATGACTAAACCAGGCCTCTCAAACTCGGTAGCCCAACTCAGTTACACTTAACAAGTAGGGCTGCAAATTTGGCTGAAAACAACATAAAATATCACTTCCACTCTCCTACTTCCGGCAAGAGAAACCCTGTATCGGTGGTAAGGCAAAAAAATGAGAGGGCAATCGATTCTCCGTCCATTTCTTCTTCGTCAAGCTTACAACGTCCGCTCCATTTCTTCGTCTTCTTCTCGGATTCCCCTTGCTCAGAGCAACTTAATCTCGGCCTCCGAGAAAAACCCTTCAATCTCCAAAACCCCATTCTCTGGTTGGACCCCTCGAAACCCTAATCTCCTCCGATCTTTCTCGGACTTCTCTCCAGATTTCTTCAAACCATCCTTCCTCGAAAACGAACCCGAACCTGTGCCTGGTATATTTTATTTTACCTGTCTTCGATTTTTCTCCCTTTGAACATCGGAAAAATGTAAATTTTAGGTGTAATTTGGTTCTTTTGTTTCAGTTCCGGATAATTTTGTCTCCGTTAAGACAGAAGAAGAGTTCGATGCCGCTGTTGCCAGAATTGAAGGCGAATCCGTGCCGTCTGTTCTCTATTTCACAGCTACATGGTGTGCTCCTTGTAAGTTTTTTTCTGATTTTTTATTTTATTTTATTTTTTCTTTTAAATTTCCAATACGAAGGCATTGATTTTTTTATTAATATTTATTGTTTCCCATCTCTTTGTAGGCCGGTTCATAGGTCCTGTCATGGAAGAGCTGGCTCGGAGAACTCCTGAAGTAACTATTTATAAGATAGATATCGACGAGGTCAAGAAACTATATATATATGTTTGTTTATTGAGTTATAAGCTTCATAATTTACTGACTGATATATATTTAATCATTGGAAAATCATAATGGTGATGTATTGCGTATTGTCAGGCATCAGACTAGGGCATGGATTTGGCCATATTATGCTTTAAGACCCCTCCAAAATCCAAATACATGGGAAACTTGGAAAGAAATGAACATACCCATTTCATACATGTACACTTATCACACTCGAGTCTGAGTAACCAGGGACGGGCCTTTGATTTTATGTATTTTATGTTAGGGGGTGAACATATAAATTTTTTTTTTTGGGGGGGACAGATTACCAATAAAAAATACAAAGAATATATGCAAGATATATGGGAATTTGAAATTTTCAGGGTTGACTGACCGCCCCCCTCAGTCCATCACTGTGAGTAGCATAGTTTTCTCAGTCTTATTGATTTTTATTAGAGGTTAAACATTTAATTATTATAAATTTTACATTTGAGAAACACTTTTTGATTATAACTATTACTAATGGGAGCTAAGTTATCAATGTGTTGCAGAAAAGCCTTGCTTGCAAACTGGAAGAACTGAATGTTAAATCTGTGGTAATTAACATTTCTTTTAATTTTGGTTGTTCAATACTCGAACTGCAAACCAGGCATTTGCTTCCATTTATATATGGTGGCAAACATTTTTTTGCTATTACTCTCATGTTCTCTTGAATGATTATAAACCAGTTGAACATTTTGTTGAATAAGTATGATTTCTATTTCCAGTTTTAGTTTCAAATGTTGGTTTTGTAGTAGTTTGAAATAAGTTATGCTTACAATAGTAGTTAGTAATTGTATAACATGCTTATGTGCATTACAATTATTGCCTTATCGGTACATTAGTGGTTGTTCTCAAATTGGATTTTAAGTGCTTGTTCTCTGTCACCATTGCAATTTTACTGTTCAAATACGACAGCTGTTAGTCTGGTATATTGTGTTTCCAATGAGTCTTCTCCATTCTTTAAGCGATCACAATTCTTTGTTCTATCACTAAATTTTCGTCTTTGGATACAGCCAACTTTACGTTATTTTAAAGAAGGCAAAAAGGAAGATGAAGTTGTTGGTGCTGATGCTTCACGCATAGTTTGTACAATGCAGAGACTTTATAACATGTAATCATTCTTCGCTTTCTACTCTTATTTTGCTGCTTTTTTGATGATGCAGTTTATACATTTAAGATTCTTTAGATGTTTGATATAATGTTTACTGAATTATCTGATTCTTGTATTCTGTTTGAACTTGTTTGTTGCATTTCTGCCTTTCCTATTGGCTGGAGGCAAAATAACTGGAAAATATGTAGCGTCTATTTTCCTTTCCTAAAACATTTATAATTTGATATTGTTTATCCACTGTTTTGTTCTCCAGGATTGATCCAAAGAAGGATGATGACTTAAAAGATGAAAATGAATCATCCAAAGAACAGGTGACGTCTGAGGAAGACGACAAAGCCTTTGCTGAAGCAATGGAGCAACTTTGTAAAATGTAATCAATCTTCGCTTTCTACTTTCTTATTTTGCTGCTTTCTTTAACATGCACCTCATACGTTTAACATTCTATAGACATTTGATATAATGTTTACTGAATTATCCAATTCTTGTATTCTGTTTGAACTTATCGGTTGCATTTATGCCTTTTTCTATTTGGCTGGAAACAATATAACTGGAAAATGTGTATTGTCTATTATGCTTTCCTAAAATATTTATAATTTGATATTGTTTATCTGCTGTTTCGTTTGCTAGGATTGATCCAAAGTGGTGGTGGTGGTTCAAAAGAAAAGGTAGAGTAAAAGGTGATGCCTGATAATGAGTTCCGAGCCTTTCTTCAAGCAATCAAAGAAGGGAATAAAGGGTGTTATGATTTCCTTATGTTGGATTTTATTTTGAAGATTGGGCATCTCCCTTCTTCATTTTAGGTTTCGCTCAACTGAGTTTACTGGTCGAGCTTAGAATTTGGTTGATTAGAATTGTAACGTAAGAGACACAGTTATGATATTTTTATGGTACGTGCAGTTTGATTCGTTAATACCGTTTACAGTTCACAGATGCAGACTAGGGGTGTAAACGAGCCGAGTCGAGCTCGAGTATTGCTGAGCTCGACTTGACTCGAAAATTCTGAAATGAAACTCGACTCGAAAATTTGCGAGTTTAAAATTTTCAAGCTCGATTCGAACTCGAAATCCTGAACTGAAGCTCGTGAGCAGTTCGAAAAGGCTCGAAATGAAAAAAAAAAAAATCTTAAACTTAACTCGATTGAAGTTTCAAACTCAATCTCGAACATGAATCTTAAATACATAAAATCTTATTGTAATTAAAAAAAAATTAATACATAAATATTAATATTATTAATAATTTATTTTTAAAAAAATAAAATTTAATATATTATATTTTTGAGCTGTTTACGAGTTTTTTGAGTCGAATATCGAGTAGTTCGTTTCAGCTCGTTAAGAATTCAAGTCGAGTTCGAGCTCGAGTCGAGTCCATTCGATCCTAATATTTTTCGAGCCTTGATCAAGTCGATCTCGAGTAGCTCGCGATCTGTTTTGTCTGATTTACAGCCCTAATGCAGACTATTGTTGTGGTAATATGCAGGTTGATTTGGCAAAGTAGTTGTCCTTCAATTTCTGAGATTCCAAACCAGGGATGTAAATGACATGCCTGCGTTTGCAATTTATATTTGTTAAATTTGTAAAAAAAAAAAAGTAGTATTCTGTTCAACTTTAGTAGAGTCAAACTCGAGCTACTGAGCAAGCCGAGTTTGAATACTTCAGTACACAATTAAAGCATTAAACTTTAAGGTTTGTGTTTGTTTTGCATTGTAGTATCTATTATTTGGGTAAATACTCCAGTTTCATTACAATTTAAGGTTTGAATCATTTTTACCATTGAATTCTTCAGTTATAGCGTTAAATTTTCATTTTACTTCAACGCTAGTGTTGAATTGTATAAATTCGAACTGCATGATGTGGATAAAATAGTGCTTTTTCTAGTGTGGTTATATTGGTGTCTGAAACGATGTTTTGTGGGATTATATTTATCTTTTTTTTCATTTTCATTTTTTTGCTTATTTTATTTAATTCTAAAATTAGGACAGGTGGTGTGATTGTTGTTTATCGATGTAGGTCATTGTTTTGGTGTGATTGTCTTTTGCCTATTATCCTTCATGTAAACTGATATGGCGGTCCTGTTGTTCATAAATTCACAAAATAACAAAGTTTATACCACATATCGATTGCACCAACACAAACAAGTTTGGTGCCAGGAAGCTAAATGCAAAAGAAAACTCACTTGAGCACATGAGCAGCTCCGGCTCGCCTCCCCATATGTGAGGCTGTCGCATTCGCACGACGTATTTATCAAAATCGCCCTCGACGAACCTGTCCAAGGGATCGGCATTTCACTTGCATGTAAGGTTTGATGATGCAGAAATTCCAGGAAAATGCTTACCATTCGGTGTCTACACGCCTCTTGATGAATTCGTCGGCGACCTGTTCGAACTCGAAACATGTTAATCTTTTATCACATAAAAGAGAGAGAAAAAAATCCAAGCAATGTCCCTACACCAGACATGGATACGAGCTATGATCCTTCATGCATATTGATAAAAAGATATGAAACGTTTCGATATATTTGTTTTCGATTACATATTCGTATCCGATTCTCACGGATAATAAAATACATTGGTTAAGAATCTAGAAAAATAAAATCTCAGAAATGGAATCAGCTGGAAGAATAATTATGAAAAACAAATGTACTTTAGCTCTAAGCTCATCTACAAGAGCTTTCTGAGATCTCTCACTCGGGGACCGCTTCTCGGACCTCAGCCAAGCACCGTGAATCACCGATCGGAACAAACATCTCCCGTCATCGGGAATGCCTGCATTAAACAACAAAGTAAGAAAACTGCAATCAAAATACAAAAATCATCGCCATTGAAGATAAAAGAAAGAATCTAACTTTTAAAAACAAATTAATCAAAGATGTTGGGAAATAAAAGAGTAACGAGTAATTTCCCTATAACCAGATTAGTAAGAATACGAAATAAAAGCGGAAAAATTATACTCGAAATTGATAACGGAGTTCAGCCAATTGTGCTTACGTCTTCGGACTGCTGCATATCTTTTACTAAGAGAGAAAATTTACAGGTGTTTACAAAACACTTACTACTCACAAGAAAGCTCTCTAGTATTGGGAGAAAGAAATGATTTGGGATGATTTTGAAGCTAAATGAGTTAGGGTATTTATAGTTAAAGCTTAATGACTAATCTTGTAAATACCCTAAAGTGTGCAGTGGCTAAAATGCAATTGCCCCATTTTCTTTTTTAATAAAGAATTGAGGCACCGCCCTGTAAAACCACTTGAAGACTGATTTTAATCTGTCTTCACACCTCGATCAATGCAGCAGTATTTGTGGTTTTGTTATTCTAGCATGCCAACTGAAGTTGAACACAACTTCAATTTGTCTGTAGTCACCGCCCTGTAAAACCACTTGTTATTGGGTAGTTTCTCCGTGGTTGCCTTGTCCCTCAACGTCTTGGCTTTCTTCGACTCTTTTCTACTAGTCTTTGAAGGATTGTTCTTCACTTGAAAATCCTCGGCAAGCCCTTGCTTCGACCTTTCTCTTAAGATGGTCTCTGAAGCCATGTACTCTACAAGAACATGCTCGGCAAACTCCTTGGACACGGACAACTCCTCCTGCACTTGGCTTCTACTCGCCTTGGCAGAAACAAACCTTATTGAGCCAACTCTTAACACCTCTTCAATCCTGGGTTCATCCTCTTCTCTGGACAACTCAATCATGGGCTCATCCATCACCTTGGATGACTCAGCTCCCCTCGGGTAATTTTGCAACACTTCTGGCATATTAAGTTTGCGCCCCATCATTTGCTCAACTCTTACCCTCGGCTTAGCATCTTTGACACTCGAACTTGTGCCAAGACTGCACACATCTTCCCCATACTCACCATCTGGTTCATTATTGAGTTGACTTTCTCTGCCACTCGAGGAACAACATTCCTCATCCTTTGACTTGCCTTCATCATGGATTCGCTTGCCACTACCCTCGGCTTTTGGCTTTGTTTTGGAAGTCTTGTTTTTCTTGACTCCATATTCTTTGATGGACTCAGCAGTTTTCAAGGCTTTAGACAACTCCTTGACTTCCCTTTGCTCCAACAATCTCTTCGCCCATGGCTTCAATCCGATCATGAAGGTGAAGAATCCATCTTCTTTAGTCAAACTTGGGACTTTGAGCATGAGTTTTCTGAATCGACTCACATACTCCTTAAGTGTCCCTTTATGCCTGAGACACCTCAACTTGGACCACGCCTCCATCCTAACATATTGTGAGCAGACTTGCTCACTTTGCACCCTCAGCTTGACAGCTTTATCTCTTGTTATCGCATCGGGTCCTTTCTTGTGCTCAACTGCTTTGACACCTGCAGTCTCGTCACGTTTTCTTCTGGGTTCGACTGCTTCAACATCAACAGCCTTGCCTCGTCTCGATCCTTGCTTGGTCGCATTGATCCCCTCAATCGACCAAGTCTTTTTCTTGGCTTGGTAGTTTTAACACTTGTGACCGCGCCAATTTCCGCTACTTCTCCTTCTCTCATCATCTTCATGATGGTTGTAAGGCGACGCTTCTCGGGACATCCTCTAATCAAATGAGGACCATCACAAAAGTAGCACTTAAGCTTTTCCTTGCTCATCTTCTTCTTCGCCCCGGACTTAGCCTTGTCATTCTTTCCCGATGGCATTCCTTGGCTACGAACAGTCGATGGCTCTCCTTGGCCATTCGAAGAGCTTTCTCTACCATCTCCCTGCTACACCTTTTCCCGATCTCCCCCACTGTTGCCACTATCTCTGGGCATGAGCCTGGACGACACATCGCTACTAGGCTTGTCACCTGCAAGCTCAGTCAGCTTTCCGGCTATAACTATGGCCTCTGAAAGTCTATGTGCATCTCCTTGCTCTCCCTCGAGTATCGCCCCTGTCTAAGTCCTTCCAAGAAGGTCTTGAGCGCATCCCATTCACTCATTGCTCCATTGCATATGAGCAGCTTCCTCTTGAGCTCATCAACTTCGTTTCTCAAAGTCATCGCTCCCACTCGAATCTGGCTTCTTTTGGATCGTGTCTGACAATTCTTGCGAATCACCGTGTATTAGAACACTTCCGTCGAAAAATTCGTATCGCCGACAATTTTTTTACTATTCACGAAATTTACTATTCACATGAATAGTAATAAATAGTAACCTCACAAAAAAATTTACAAAATTCACAACCAAAAGCTCTGATACCAGTTGTTGGGAAATAAACAAGTAACGAGTAATTTCCCTATAATCAGATTAGTGAGAATTCGAAATAAAAGCAGAAAAATAATACCCGAAATTGATAACGGAGTTCAGCCAATTGTGCTTACGTCTCCGGACTGATGCAGATCTTTTACTAAGAGAGAAAATTTACAAGTGTTTACAAAACACTTACTACTCACAAGAAAGCTCTCTAGTATTGGGAGAAATAAATGATTTGAGATGATTTTGAAGCTAAATGAGCTAGGACATTTATAGTTGAAGCTTAAAGACTAATTTTATAAATACCTTAAAGTGTGCGGTGACTAAAATGCAATTGTCTCATTTTCATTTTCAATAAAGTTCGGTGTCCCCCTTTGTTGAATTGTGCTCCCCCACCTTTTGACTTTTCCTCCAACAAAAGAAACTGTAACTGAAATTCAGGTATAAAATTTACCAATCCAAACCTCCCGTTTAGGCATTGTTTTCTCCTTTTGTTTCTTTAATCAAATTTAGCCAAAAAATGTCTACTGGTTAATACTCGAAGAAAAAAAAGGTTAAAATAATGTTTTTTTCATTACATAAGGGAAGAATGTCAGACACGTGTCGCGTTTAGTATTTCGCCACGTTTGACAGGACGATAGATTGTGGGGACACCGATTTACGAGAGCATGTAACCGGTTACTATTTTCCCACTAAATTTCATTACTGCTGTTCGTGTTACCGTTACATTAGCGTAATA